GGTGTCCTAATGTAATGTCTGTGACAAGCTTTGGTCAAAATCCCATAAGGATGAAGCCCAATAGCAGTTCAGTCCCCCTGCCTAACCCTAACCCTAACCCTAACCCTAACCCAAAACAGCCCCGTTCAGAGCGCTCGCTTTGGATTGCCTGTCTCTTTAAATGCAAATGAGACACAGGCAATCCACCCACTTCTTCTGGGAGGTGAGCGTGACCACGCTGATGCTCACGCTACCACGTCTCCACAGATAGGGGAGTAAGCTGAGGGGGGGGCAACATGCAGGTGAAAGGCTGGAATATTATAATGAGCTAGAGCTAATGACGTCAGAAACTACCCACTCCTGAAACCTCCTGATTTATCTCCTGGATTCAGACTGAGGCAGCCCACAAAAACATGTCATTTTTTTTCACTATTTGCCTGCTGATAGGCCCTCCACAGTCCCAAATGTACATAATCAAATTATTAAAATATTGTTTTGCATAATATGTCCCCTTTAATCAACATTCATTTCCTGTTAGAGGGCCTTATGAACAGATTGTTAAGGCCTCCAAGCTGACATTTTTTACTCTGCCTAGCAAATGGTGTGATTGTTTAAATGCTTTAACATGAAAATGCATGTCTGGAAGCAGCACAACCAGGGGAAAAGCTATGAAAGGAAGCGGACAGACCATTTGGAAATATTTAATAAGTATTCATGGACAAAATATAATTAACATCAGTCTGTGATTCAGACCCACCTCTGCTTTCATGTAATAATTAGAGACGGATTTATAAATCAATGATTAAATCATAAAATAGATCAATAATAATGTTTGATGACATGACCAGCTTGTTGATCTGTCTTTTTAAACAGCGAGGACCTCCATGGTCCAAAGTCCAGATTTTCAGAGCTCTCCAGATTTTGGTCTGATCGTCTGTCAACGGGAATTTGAGCCACTTAAACGGACAAAATGATGCACTGGACTAAAATGGATAAAGAAGTAAGAGTTTCCTTATACTTTCCTTTGTTTATATCGTATTCAGAAAGTCGGAATCTGTAAGAAACGTTTGTCGTTGGCTGTTTTTTGTTATATCGCAAATGGTTTGTATCTCATTGCATTCTATTAACATGACAGTCAAAAGGAAAAATACTTTTTGTCTTTGATTTTCTATAAACTTCGACGCGACTATAACAAATAGTTCCAAAACCTCTTCTGAAAGTTAATTTACAAATAGGAAGTGTTTTCTAATTCCTTCCCATTTGTCTTTTTATGTCCAGTTTCCTTATACATTATTATTTGCTTCCGCTTTTGCTCCGATCCTCTCAGATTTATTCAGTTTTTCTGCTTTCTCTTGTGAACTGCATCGGTACACATTTTGACATCAGAAATAAACTATTACTATTACAGAATATTTGCTCGTGTCATACCAACAAAGCCTGAATTCAAAGTTGGTCAGAATTACTCTTGAAGCCAAATAAACAAAAAAAAGAAAAAAAATCTTCATAGAAATTTTTTTTTAAATTAAATTTTTTTTAACTTGGCAGAACTGAATTCCCCTTGGGGATCAATAAAGTATCCATCTATCTATCTATCTATCTATCTATCTATCTATCTATCTATCTATCTATCTATCTATCTATCTATCTATCTATCTATCTA